CTCCCCTCTTCCTGTGGAGAAAACGCTTAGTGTATTCCAGACGCTGATCTTCAAGCCGCGGAGGTACCGGAGAATTTGAATGGGATCGGAGCTAGCTGCCTCTTGCCCAGGCCTGCTGTCATCTTGTAGAGCAGTGTGAGGGAAGGCTGCAAAATTGAAAAGCAAACTGAAGCATTTCACACTAAAAAACGTGAGCTGTCAGCCCTCAAAAGCTGCAGACTCCTCACTGTCTAGTTCGCTTCTACGTGTGGGATAATCGCGGTTTTCCAGAGGACACAGCTCTCGCCTTCATAGTTGTAGATAGATAGGAGAACTGGGTGTGGGAACATGCACATGAAATAGTCTACTGCAAGATTTCTTTAATTTCATTTGTAACACATTTTAATTATCATGTATGAACATTTACTTAAAAATCTGCTGTAGTGTACTGCAGCTAAGGAGTAAATTTGTTCTTGTAACTCCTTTCTTTGTTGGAATGAAAGGTTTTCCCCACTAAATGTATTTAGTGTTTTCAGTTTATTTTAAGCGTGCAAGAATGTGGGCAATTGACTTTAGGAGTAACCTAAATATAAATAATACGAATGTAGGAGCCTGATAGATTATCTTTGCCTTATAGTTTGTTTGCAGCAAACAACATGTTACAAGTGAGTGGGTGGGAGGGGGAGTTTTAAATATATGGGCATGGATTTTTAGAGTTTGCAGCTGACGTGGATTAAAGATTCTTAGAACATTTCATCCATGAAAGGCAATTAGTTTTGTTTTATGAATATGAAAAGCACGTAGCTTGTAAGTACTGGAGTGAAGTCCCAAGTGAGTTATTAGAACTTGCTTTACTCATGTAGTACAAAATTAGCCATCAAGAGCTGATAGATTTCAAATATAGCTCACTGACACACTGATCATCCATAACTTTTCATAAAGACATTTTTTTCGGTCTCACCTGTAATTACTGGATGCTGTTGAAGTCCTGAACCCCTGTCACAGATCAGGACATCTTCTCACTCTTGATGGTGCTTGCAACTTTTTGTGCAGCTGGGATATCGAATTGTAATACCATGCTGCCTGCGGTTCTGGGTGGTAAAACTGCATCTGGATGCGTAGAATATTCCTCTTACCTCCCGGTAGTATCTTACTGGTCAAATACATTCTTCTGCTTTCTATGTGTGGTATTGTTTTTCTGCATTTTTGAGGGAATGTTTTAAAAAGTGGTTTGAAACAGTTTATTTAAGGAACTCTCATACTGGTGTCCTTATAAATAACAAACCCACTATAGGCTTACTTGCTAACAAAGGAGTTGAGGAATAAATCACTACTTTCAGCTGCCCCTTCTCTTGGATTTATAAATTAAGGCTGATAAAATGAATGGAGTCTGCATTTTTTTTTAGCAGTTGTTTTTGGCATTAGGACAAATTCATGTGTATATATATTAGATAGTTGTTTAAGAGCCTTTTTTGAATATTGGGGTTGTCTGTAGTGACTTGTCTTTCTGGTGGGAAAAGCTTCTCAGCTACTAAGGGGTGTTTGGAAGAAGGCTATTTTTTCAGCTTCTTTGGCTAGGTTTTTTTTGGGTTGTTTGGTTTTTTTGGATGAGTGAGAGCCAAAGATTCAGCTATTAAAAAATTTTGTACTTCTAGTGTTGGTGAACGGGGGTGATTCATTCAGCCTGTGCGTGTTTTCATACCTGAGATTCTCAGTTAAGGAACTGGTAGCCCCAACTGAGGATCAAGGTAGCCTTTCCCCCCCAGTTGAGGAACAAGGTAGCCTTTTCCCCCCCAGTCATCCAAATTCCTTGGAGAAATTAAAACGATATAAAGACCCTTTGGCAAGTAGTAGGCTACAATCCGAGTTCTGCCTGTGGAAATGACTAAATGTCGGTGCGATTTGGTGTACTGCACTGGCTGCCTTGCCGCGATCAAAGGAGGAGGAGGATTGGGTAACCATCCCAACTCACAGACCTGTTTAAACAACGCTGTGCTGGTAAATTCTCCCATACAGAGTCATATGGACAAGTCATAGCAGTCGCACTCAAATTCAGCAGAGGCAAATCCGAGGGAGAGCACTTTGTCACCTGGAACATTTTAATTTATGCTTTCGCGCCTCTCGTCTAGAGAAGAGAGATGGACACTCAGAGTGTGATAATGTTAGACTACTGGAGGTGTTGCCTAATAGATCACAGATGTTTGCGAAGTGGCGAGCCATCATCTCCACTGATACAAGAGTACGAGGGGACAGTCTGTCATGAGAGGTGACACGTCATAGAGGAACATTGATTTGTTGCTCCCCTACAGTAAATCACACGGTAAACACCTCCATTCGAATCCATTAAAATCCATTAATACAGGACGTATATTTTAAAACTGCTTTGACATTTCTGATTGAAGGCTTTAGTGTATTGATTTCTGACGTGAGCGGGTCCTTGTTTGTCAATCGTGAAGTAGCACCATACCTTGAATATCATGGTTTGCAGGGAGATGGGAATCTGGCCAAGGTCACTGCAGAAAGAGGTGAAGCAGCGTGCGGTGCAGGCTGAGTTTTAGGGAAAAGTGCCTCAGAATGATGCAAATGGCTTGATGAGCTGGGAGCTGCTGCATGACCTAGCTTTGAAGGACAGCTATTTACGGTACATGGGTCAACACGCTAGCTTTAATGAATGTACCGTACATAGGAGGAAGGTGGGGTTTTTGTGTTTTGTTTTTAAAACTGTGTAGAATGAAGAAGGTGGAGGGATTTCACCGCGTTTTAAAGAAGCAGCAGTCTCTTTCTGCCATCTGTTTTGAAAGGGAGCAACTTAGATACACATGTCATTCAGTGGAGCATGCTGTCAGCAGCAACAATTTCTGCTGATGGGGAGCTTCAGTGAGAAGATTCATAACAAAAGTCTTTATTGTATAGAAACACGCTGTTCTGCTTGGGATCCAGATTCCAAATGCTTTTAAGGACTGTGACTAAACCATCATTTATGCCTGAGATGAACGATACCAGGGTACAGAAACTGCCTGGAGTAGCTTGCCCTGTCGGGCCATTTCTGGACAATGCAATAGCGTAGTACTGGAAGGTCCAGTCTGGTTTCACAGCCTGCACATGCATTGAGACCTATGAGATGTGATAAACTAAGCGAGTCAGGCTGATACGCTCCCTTGCCTACTCTGATATTATTATAAGGATTTCTGGTTTATTTTTCTACTTGTTCAGGTGAAGCTCTGATCGGACTATGAAAGAAAAATTTTCTTTGTTATACAGCTGTTAGTATTTGTTTAATACATATTAATCCATTCACCTTGCTCTGTTTCTGAAACTGCTGTGCAGCTATGCTCAGTTAATCAGCTGTAGTTTCGTACTACTGAGAGGCTGAATCTGTGGGAGCTGTTGGGCGACGTCTTTTCTGTAGCGTATCTAAATCACAGGAATGCTGTAGCATAACTGTGAGTGCCATGTGGTCTTTAAAAAGGCACAGTAATTGCATATTACATATTCATGATTGCAGGCAGGTAAGTGTGATTGGGAAGGCAGGTTTGAAGAAGTTTAGCGTTTGGGCAGCAGCTTCAGAAAGAAGAAAACCTGAAAGTTAATCGGAGAAAATGACAGTTCCCAGTTTACTGCTGTGCCTTCAAACAGCATTTGAGCTAAACACTCATTACGATTGCACATATGCATGTCCACCGCTTCTCTTGTTATTTTATTTTAATGTAGACTCCACAGTCATTATAAGCTATGATTATTCATTTATTCAGCCCCAGAAACTTTGGCAAAACAATGCGTGGAGGATAGACGACTTCATCCCAAAGAATTTTGATGTAAGCATAGCTAAAATCAATTGAAAAACCACAACGGTCAAAGTGGATGACCAGTGCTGCAGCAGTACAACCCAAATCACGTTTCTCTGTAATGCCTTGCAGTTCAGATTGAGCCCGTTTGTTCTAGCTGACTGGCTTTTTCTTTGGAAGTGTGAAGCTCAGCATTTTCAGAGCAGTGTGAAATAAGGAATGTAGAAAAAGGACTTGGAGCGGTGAGGTGGCTAATTGAAAAATGCTATTGGAGCTGTGCTTCCTAACAAAGAAACTGCCAGGATTTTGTGAGTAAGTCACTTCAGAGTTGAGTTTTGATCTTGAATTTTGAATGAGCCACATTTATTTTTTAATAGCAGCGTTTTGATAAAGGAAAAAACCCTCCTGTTCGTTACCATAATGTCTAAGTGTCCGTGACTGTCTTTCTAACAGCAAATGGAGAGAAAGCAAGGATAGACTGTTAGGTCCAGGAGTATCCAAGTGTGTTTATTCTAGCGAATCTCTGTCTTGCAAGTGAGATGTCTTGAACTCAGCAGCCATGCAAATGCTGAGGATCTTTGGGCTTATCTTCATTTTGCTTGGACAGCTGAAATGTTTCTGTGGCCTCTGTATGGTCTTTCCCCAGGTCTTATTGATGGTGCCATGCAGGTCATTGATGGTTTCTCGAGTCCAAGAGAGACAACTGCCATCACAAAACATGATGCTTTAAAGCAAAACAATTCTATAAGCTACAACTCAGAGGAGGGATGTTACTGTCTCGTTCAATACCTTGTCTTCCCTTGTGAGCTGTCTTTTATGTTTTGCATTGCCTTGCAAAACTCTCTTCTTTTTTGTTTTTTTTTTGTTTGTTTGTTTTTTTCCTGAAAGACCTTTGTCCATTCTATAAAAACATTTTGCATTTGGCCTCGGCTGATAGCCCTTGCTTCTGAGAGAGCTCCACTGAGCTGAAGGGAGGGGGGACCAGCAGGATGGAAATAAAAGCCTGCTAATACTGTGGCTTCTTCTGTTCTCTGTCACATATTATGCAGAGTGAAATATAACACATCTGACTCTTTGATTTTCTAATTTCAGTCATGGAGCACAGCTGGTAGGCAGGTGGACTGTTAAGAGGCAAGACGAAGATCTAAGATCCGAGATCTTCTGAACTTCCAAGCAAAAAAAAACCAAACCCAACATGTTTTATGCTACTTGAATACCAAACACTGTTGGAGGGAAGGGGAGAAATTTGGAATTGGAGCTTTCTTGCTTTTGGATCTCTCCAATACTGTGCATTGGTGTGCGTGCTTCTTGCAGAAACAGAAGGTGATTTTTCAGGTATAATTCTTCCCAAGCATATGAATCGAGAGTCTCTGAAGCAACATCTGGAGAAGTCCCAAGAGACAAAACTGTGATTTCTCTGAACACAAAGATCTGTTCATTCACGAGATTCTGGTATTCAGACAGAAAACAGCGCAGTTCTCCCATTTCATTTAATGTGATTTGGAGCTAGTGCAATGTTTAACTTTCACTTTTGCCTTTTCTTCCAAGAACATTATGCAGCAGCGCAGGCACTTATTGGTGCTTATAGATAGAGCTTTTGGAGAGATTTTTACCCCGATCGTGCCTGCTGTCATCATTCAATAAGAGTAGATGTTCTCAGTGCTTCCAGCAGTTGGTTTTTCAGTCTCAGCAGTGTAAGCATGCGTATGGTATGTGAGTTAAATAGCATACAGACTTCAACATGCGTGGTTGCAACCCTGATGAAAAGCTTCAGGCTGTCTCCATTGGCAGGTTGAGTGTAATGGTCAGAGATGAGCACTGGAAGCGGGAAGCCGAGAAGAGTGAGGAGTTCTGCTTTATCTCATCCGTATGTGAACAAAGTCAAATTTTAAGAGTGTCATCAACATTGAACTGTAACTTTGAAGCAAAAGTATCATGGACTGAAAAGGGCTGTGAAAGCAGCTTCTGGAGGACAACCAGTGTTAGCGTTTCTTTGTTAGGTGACTTTTGAGCTGGGTTCAGGATGGGCGGTAAAAGTTCCTCTGTTTGTTCCCTGCATTGAAAAGAGCATTCCTGTCCTGCCCTGCACAGCCTGTTTATTACGTGAGGGTTACACGGGCACTTCTGACTCCATTTCCTTGTGGTGACATCTCTCAGGTCAGAGCAGGTTGCTTGGGAAGAGGCTTGGCTGGGGGGTGTGTGCACTGAGACTGTTTACACTGAAAACTTGACGCTACTGAACGACGCCTTCTGGCTGCCCTAAAATGTACACGATTTCAGTGGGAGCAGGGAAATACTGATATTGCCATTTGGCAGAGTGTGGAAACGTGGCCACAAGAGTTAGATCTTGGAGGGAAGGTGTGAATGAAAAAATAGCACAATTTTTTCTCCTTTTCTTTGCAGACTAGAGATCAGCTAATGCTTGTGCATGCATACGCAGTGTCCAAGGTCTGCAGCATGTCAGGCGTGGAGTGCCAGATTGTCTTTCTACCAGAACATTTATGCTTTAATTTGGGAAACGTGGTGGGAACCGATAGCATCTTGTTTCTGAGAGACACTTTCTGATAATCTCACTGGTGGCATCATGTCCCCGTGTGAGACGCTAACTCCTGGCCCCCGCTGTGGTGGCACAGTCGGCAGTAACACAGCGCTCGGAGTTGCTCTCGGGGCAGAAGCTCTGCAAGGCACCCTTGGCATTCAGGCTGGGAGTTGCCAGCCCTTTTGTTAACGCAATTAAACTACACCATAAACTCTACAGTTCAGGGAAGGGAGGGGCAGGAAGGACTCCTACTCATTGCCTTTTTCCTTGTCTAGTTTAACATTTCTTATGTCACCCTGGAATCCTTTGGTCACGTTCCAGAGTCCTTGCGTGAACTAGTGCCATTTAGATGGCTTTTAATGAGGCTGAAAGAGATTGAGGAACCGGCACCTTTTTTTAAAAGGGTATTTGCATGATTTGCATGCCTTTCCTTCACAATTCTGCGATAGTTTCCAAAATCTGTTTAATCTTGTCAGTGGTATCTATTTCCTGTTTGAGGAGGTGCCTCAGAGGGATGCACGGCTTCCAAAATGTCCAATAAATACTGGACAGGTTATTGAATATTTTTAATTTACTACATTTTGGATATGTTAGGCAGGGATTCTCTTACAGATGAGTGCAGGCAGAGCTGTTTCGCCGGAAATCCAGAACTACAACCTGCTGCGTTTTGGTTCTGGAAGAGCTCTACAGGCTTTCAATTCTTTGCAGCGTAATACTGTTCTTCAAACAAATCACACGCAAACCCGTATGCCTTCTCTGCAGTCAGTTAACTCCTTTGTACCAGTTGAGAGAGCACTGCAGCAGCAAATCTGGGTCACACACCCGACAAAGGACAAACGACTACAGATGACAAGAGCTTGTGTGCTCTCTGTCGCTGAAGAAGAGACTAAAATTAGCTTCTGACTCTTATTCGAATTAAAAATTACCCAAGGGAAAAGAACTAATTCTCAAAAAGACAACTGTTACGTCTTAAACCCACACAGTCTCCACCATGTATTACTCCAGCTAAAGAACAGAAATTGAAAAATAAAAAGGCGGTAACCAAACCTTCTGGGAGAAAGGGGATTTCGTTTTCCCTAGTGAATCTCAGAAGGGAAATACTAATGAGGTTATTGGGGACCCCAGATAAGTGTTCCTATGCCACCCTCCATACAGTGCTGCAGCAGTATCTCTTTACTCTGCTGTCTCCAAACTATCACAATTTTTAGCTGTGGAGTAGTGCCATACACACATTTTGTCAAAAGAAACCTTAATTAAATGGGTCTTACAAGACCAATGAATGAATTGGCTGCAAGCACAACTTTGTGCAGGATCAGCATTTTCCACAAGCATTTATAAAAAGTGATAGCAGAACCAGAGAGTATGAATATTGCTAAGTCGCTGCCTGATGCCAAATGCTGTCAAGAAGACGCAAATTTGTTAATACAGTTTTAGATTAAGAAAACAAATCGTACGCCCAGATTAAGGAATACCCACTTTTTAAGGCGTAATCTCTCATTTTGCAGCACTGTGCTTGTAAATCCTTTGCCACTTTGGAGATCACCTTCTGCAGCAGAGCAGATGTAGTGATTTTTTTTTATATCTCTGAATATTAAGGGGTTTTCTCTAATGTTAAATATGTTTTCCTAAGCAACAAGGACTATATGGAGGTGAAGGCAGATCACATTCTGTAGCAATAAAGCCTTGTATACAGTATAAGAACAAAATACACCTACAGAAAATGGTTGTTACAAGTAGCTTTGCACAAAGATGAATTCCGGTATCTCAGAAAGCATTAAACAGCTCTGCCTGCACTCTGCCTTAAGAGAATCCCTACCCAACGTAGCCTAAGTGCAGTAAATTAAAAATACTCGATAACCTGTCCAGTATTTATTGGACGTTCTGGAAGCTGTGCATCACTCTGAGGCTCCTTCTCAAGCAGAAAGAGCTTTCAGAGCCAGAGTGAACTCTGCTGTGAGGTGATGGTGGCTGAAAAAGACCCAGAGGTGAAGATGGCACAGCTGGGACCTTTGCAGCCTCCCCTTTCTCCACGGCAGGCCAGACGCCGTGCCTCGCCGCACTGCCTCTCTGAATGGGAAGCGAGGCCTGCAAAGAATGATCTCCTGTTCCATAATCTCCTTTGCCGTGGGGTCCTCTCCATTCTGCAGATAGATGGCTTCTTTTCAGCACTCTCTGCTTGGATTTTGCATAGCTATCTGGTTTGTCTCGGATTTATGCAATTACTGTCCTTGGTGGAGCTGCTTTAGCCATGATTTTGGTGTAGACAAGTCACTGAAACTTGAATTACCCAGACACATATTCTTTCTCCAAATAATGTCCCACAATTATGGCCTGTGGGCATCTGTATCCTCAGTCAGAGTGATAGAAATGTTAATGGGAAAAACATCGTTTGTAAACAAAGAGGGAGATGTGTGAAGTCCTTGGAGCCTGGTGTCCTCAAACAAAATCTGCCTTGTTCTGGGAGACAGATTGGGGTCTGATGTAAAGGCAGGATAGCTGGAGAAGATGGGACCTGCGTTTTTGTTTCTGCTTTTAAATGTTTAGAAGATTTTTTTTTTCTCGGTTTATTTTACATTTTAAAAATCCTTTTGTTTCCCTATTTACCTTCCAACATTGGATGCCAGGGATCTTTAGAAAAACCTAGACTAATTTAGTGGAGGAGGTCATGTTTGGGTTTAAGGTCCCCTTTTTAGGTGTTTCTGGTGACAGGCTTTATGTTCAGCTCAATGGCATCTCTGAATGTGGGCAGCGTTAACACAGATAGGGTTTGAATGCTGCAAGTGAGGCGTGTGAAAAATTCAGGAGATGTTCTAGGCACCACTAGACAGAACTATATTGATTTAGGAGGAAATCCCAAGGAGAAAATAGTTCTTGTCAACTGATTACTTGAAGTTATGGTTATGCTACTCTGAATTTCAGACGTCTATAAATTAAACTGCCAGCAGTTGGCATCTGCCACTGTCACAGTGCTATAGGTCATCCCTCCCATAGAGTTTGGTCTGATGCTGGAGTGACTGACTTAACCTGCCACGCAAGTAGTGAGGGAGCATTTGGGAGTCCCAAGGAAGGCAGATTTTGCTTGGGAGATGTGTACGTAGCCCCAGCATGGAGAGGAGATTGGGGACGTAGCGTGGGACAGAGGGGAGCAGTGCCCAAGCCCCCTGGCAAGCAGGTATTGAGGGACCACAGTACAAGAGTCCCAGGCAAAAAGGGGTGCCCATGAACGATATTGTGACCTGAACTGTCATGTGCTAAATGTGTTTATGTGCTGGTGGTTCTCTCCATACTGAAATTCTGGACTTCCTTGAATTCTATCGCCAAGTTGCTGTCCTTCCTCCCTTGATTCATGTGCAGATATTATCTACTAAAACAGGGAGGAGGTCATGTTGATTTTGGGGAGAGTTTTCCTACCTCACAACTCGCCAACAATGCAGAATCTGAGAAGTTTAAATTGTAATTAGCTGACATTTTCCTACTCTCCCAGGAATTCAGGAGTCTTTGAAGAAGAGCCCATCTATGTGGGCTGAAGGTAGTGAGCTTGAGGGATAATTGATTCTGTCTGGAAACCTCTATGCTGATCCCTAAAACCAGGAGGGAAGGTTTGATATTGCTTACAGTCAGTGGGGACTTCCGGGTAGTTTCAGCTCAGCATAACTGAAGACGGATCGAAGTATAGTACCTAATCAGGAAGATGTGAAAAGATGTATTTTTCTTTACTTTACAGAAAAGGCCACAGATGGCTCTCTGCAGAGTGAAGACTGGACACTTAACATGGAGATCTGTGACATTATCAACGAGACAGAAGAAGGGTACGTGCTACTTCAGCAAACTTTGAAAGTCTCACAAACACAGTCTTCATCCCGTCATACTCGGCACGTGAGGAGGTGCAGTGAGTCTGGGGGCAGATGCTCATAGTTTGAGTGCAGTTTGCATATGAGTTGCTTCATTTTCCTGCTCCTTGGACATTTCAGAAAACTACTGTGTGATGCAGCACTTTCTGTGGTTGGTCTCTGCTTGGGAGGGCTGGCATGAAAAACGTATTGCTGGGGAGGGTACCGAGTTTGTACTTCTGGGGTTCTTGTTTTCAGCAGGTGTATCTCTGCAGTGCTGCAATGCTAGTAATTTAGCCATTTGAATAGAGAGCTTCTCTGATACATCTCCTTCAGCATCAGAAAAGCTGTGCTGCTTGCAGTGTGCAGGAGAACTGATCACTGGTCTTATGCCCTGGGCCTTTTTCTCAGTGGCTGTCAGTCTTTCCTGCTTGACCAACATGCTGCCGTTTTGGAGGCCTTGGGAATTGCTCTGGTCTTAACTTCTGTGATACCTTGCCTCCTCATATCATTCTACATGACCCTAGTTTGGTTGTAGTCAAGTAATCTGAAGTTAACACACATGCTTCATGTCCAGCTGGAAATGGTGAAGGATTCCTTTTCCCACAGTATGTGGCATGTGAAAAGCGTGTCTGAGCTGTCTTTTTAAAATGGTGTGTTTCTCCTTCAGTCCAAAGGATGCCATTCGAGCACTGAAGAAGAGGCTGAATGGAAACAAAAATTACAGAGAGGTCATGCTGGCGCTGACGGTGAGTGGGGGCAGGCTGGAATGCCTCAAAAGGGCAGAACCCTTTTCTTTTGTCATTTTCCTTTTCCTGGCACTCTTTCGAATGTACACACTGTTTGCTTTAACAGCCACTGCTCTGCCCTTTTCTTCTCTCCAATTGCCTCCTCACTTCCTTGGGGAGAGTTGCTGGAAGCTTTGCATAGCGTTTTTCTGACTCAGTTGATTTCTGCTTTTTTCTGGGCTCTTATTCATCCCAAGTACTGACTGAGGAAAGTTAAAGTAGCCCAAATGGGTCTGTGTACCCTTTGGGGGCTTTCCCTTCTACTTTCATCTCCCTGTGTCCAACTGTTTCTCCACTCCAAGACAACAGCTGTGAGCATATCTGCAAGCAAGGATGATGAACTTGCCATATTTTCAGCTTCATGAGTAGTTGATGCACAATTTCCCTTGTGAATGGATCTCTGTAGGAGACTCGAATTAATTTATGCTGATCTAATTTCACTCAATAAAGTGTAAATTATATTCTGTGCACTTAGGCAGCACTGCTAAGGTGTGAGATAATTTGCCAGTGACCTTTCCTACTGATGGCTTTAGCTAAGGGTTTCCTGGGTAATGCAGCACTCCTGAACACGCGGTGCTGGGCAGGCTCTGCACCACAGCAGTCTGAGGAATGAGCAGCGGTAACTAGATCGAGTTATACTGCTGCGGGTAGGTGATCTGTATGATTCTTTTCACACAGCTCTTGTTGCATCTCCCTGACGAAGCGTGACTACTTTCTGTCTTCTTGCCATTTCCCATGCTGGATTGTCATTTTGACAGATGACCAGAGACCAAACCATGAGATTATCTATTGTGCAGGAAAAGAGCAAAATTCATCAGGAATGAGTCCATGTCATCAGGGCTGATGAAAGTAGCTGGAGTAGGAGAGTAATTACAGACTCCTCAGATACAGAGTCGCAGTGGTTATTAGGCATGGCTGTAAGGAGAAGTGACGCGTTGGATTTATCTCCATGCTAATCATGTTCTTCAGAGAAAAATGAACAGCTGTTCTTCCATGGCAGTTGAATGGCAAGTGGAAGGTGCCTCTAGCTAGGTTGCAGGGGGAAAATGTGTCAAAGTATAACCTGTCAGAGCATTCACAAGGGAGTGTTCTGAATGAGTGAAGATCATTCACCTGAATTCCCAACACTAAAACATGGCTTATAGCTTAGAGCAAGTGGGTCCAGCTGTGTTCCAGGTACACCGAAAATGGTGGAGTGCCACAGCACGATAATATTTCACTGTGACAGGATGTCCTCTGTCTTACCTGCTCTTGATGTGGTGCTGTGTACTTAGCTGTTCAGCTGCGCAGGTTGGTAAGTTCTGCTTTGAAGAAGAAGAAACTTTGTATTTCTTTACCTTGAAAACAGGCAAAGGTAGGTCACGAAAGTGCCCAATATGTTAACGGTGGGTGAGATGCATCTAAATCTGTGTGTAGAGAAGGGAGCTTTTTGGTAAAATCAGGGAAGAAAAGAAGAATTAAGAGTATAAGTGCAATTCCTCCTCTGTTTTCTCTCCCTCCTATCAAAAGCTTTAAAATAAATTAAAAAAAAGCAAATCAGAAACCAACCACATAGGTGCTGTGTGTGTGATCAAGCTTTGCTCCAACAATGAATGTTTTTTTGTGCATGTGTAGGTGTTGGAGACCTGTGTGAAGAACTGTGGCCATCGCTTTCATGTCTTAGTGGCAAACCGTGACTTCATAGATGGTGTTCTGGTGAAAATCATCTCGCCCAAGAATAACCCCCCCACTATTGTACAGGATAAAGTACTAGCGCTGATTCAGGTACACAGTTTGTCTCTGCTTCCATATGTTGCTGCCTGGAATAAGGACTGTCTGCTTCAGTGCTATGCATCGCTAAACATGCTGTCATCATTAAAAATGTGGCAGGTTTTTTATATGTAAAAACAAACAGTATATCCAGATTGACAGGGAATAGCAGACATGCACACGCATAGTTATTTTATCCAGGAAGAAATGTCTGGATTCTCGTTAGGGATGTACCATTCTACTCTAAAACAAGAGGACTTAATAAAAGATAAATGGATGGTTTTGCAATTTAACAGTTGAATCTGGGAGCTGGAGACCTGCTTCTGTGATGGGCTTGTCATCCGAGGCCAGGAAATTTTAGAGGATCACGCTTGTGCTGTCAGTTACAGAACACTTTGCTGTGTCTGTTTCTCTGACCGTAAAATGGAACTGTTTCCCTCCATTAGAAAGCATTCTGAATTCCTTTTAAAAATGGTTATAGAAAAGTAAATGACCATATAGGAGTTAAAATGGTTTTGGTGTCTTTTCTCTGGTTATTGTGCAGTAAAAGCGCACTGTCAGATAGTTGCCTGCAGTGGGGAAGTTCAGACGTAGGCCTGTCTGCCACTTCTCCTTCTGTGCAGCATAACAATAAACAGCCATGTTAATTCCACAACCCATTAGCAACACATGAGGAAACATTGGTGCCTGCCTGGAGGAAATCTGACAATTATAGGAAGCTTTATCACTAAGTTCCTACAGGCTATTGCATACACCAGAGACTAAAAGACACTGCGTATTTAAAATGATATAAACCTGCTGCAGTGTTTCTTGTGAGAAGGTATTTACAAATGCGCAGCATAGTTTTCCAGATATACTCCTGATTCTTGTGGCAAAGCATGCAGTTGAATTTCTGCTGGTTTATTTGTTATTTGGATACACAGACAGGACATCGTTAGAGCATGACAATGTAAATAAGTGATTTCCGGACAGGAAATTAGGCTAGGTTGGGAAATTAGGGGGCATCACATTGAGGTCTGTGGGGTCCCTTTATTGCTGGTCTGTGATCTCAAGGCTTTCTAAAAAAATTGCACAAAATTAATGAAATTATTAAAAGCAATTCTTGTGCATCTGACTGAGCCCTTGAGTGTCTGCCTGCTTTGGTGGGAGAGCTGATGCATGCGGTGACCAGGAGATGAGGTTAAATACTGTCCCATAAAGAGAAACCGTGCGTGCTTCCGTACTGTTTGCTCTGCTGCAGTGTTTTAGAGGATGTTGGTTACCCTGGGTCATCAATATAAGTAGATTCCCGGTCATCAATGCAACTAAGATGGAAGTGTTTGTAACATAACCAAAAAGCCGCAGTCGTTGCCTAAGTGTATTACACAGAGCTTTATGTGAGTAGACTTAGTGTGGTAGAGCTAAAAGCCTCACTCTGGGTACTAAATGCCTTTTGGTATAAAAAGCCTGAGAATTATGAAAGTGGCCTGTGGGTGGGTTCTGTTAGTGTGTCTTTAGCTGGAGGTGGTAGGGGACTTTGTTTTCCAGATTGCCTGACAAGTTTGGAAAAGCAATTGCAGTCGCTCATCTCAGCTACCCTATTGACACGCACACCCAAAATACCCCGTACGTCATGGCCACTTTGCTCAGCTTAGACCTTGCTCTTTAGAGCTCCCTGCAGTTGGAGTTAACTCCGTTCCAGGGGGCTGATCTCTTCTCAGCTCTGCTCCCAACATTACATTTATCCCCTTCTGTAGGCTTTTTACAATTTGATATCAGGGAATTAATAGGAACAGAAATGAGAGGATTAATAGCAACTAGAAGCATGGACAAACAGCATATGTCTTCAACCATACAGCTCTTGTACGCCTAGGCTTTTCTGTAGCAAGGGTAGGTAAAGCTGCCATCCAATTTCTTATCTAGAGACTTGACTGTTTGGAGATGTGGGGCATCTTGTGTCTCACTTTCTTAACCTGCTTCCCAGTGTACATGAATTAGCATGTATTACATATTGCTTATCCTTCCTTCTTCACCTGTTGAAAGGCCTTGGAAATATTCCTTATTCTGTGCTGCTGGTAAGAGCTTGCGTATCACCTCAGAGTTCATACCACCTTGCTGCCCAGTAGCTGAGCACTGTCATCAAAGGTGAATCATGTGGAGACTTTCAGGGGCATGGCAAATTCTTTTGAAGGTACATGTGTTAAAAAGTGTCTGACGCTGGAAAAGTTTTCTTGTGGTGGTCACTGATTTAGGGGCTAGAGTTGCAATGGTATTTAATTAACCTGTTTGGCTACGCTGAGGTGCCAAGTGGGATTTATACAGCAGCATCCTTAGGTATCTACACTTGATAATCTTGCCCAAAGTCATAGAAGACCTGAATTCAATCTCACCTCTGTCATACACTTGTTTGGACAATGCACAAGTCTCCTAAGCCCTGTGTGCAGCTCCTTATCCATAGAGCTAGTATTACTGTTGCCTAGTTAAATTGTAAGCTGTCTAGGACAGGGATTGTCTTACAATGTGTGTAGACAGCACTTAGGACAATAGCGCCTGGTCCTCCTTGTGACCTCTGAGAGACACATTAATGTAGATAAAGCTCCTGGCTCAGGTGAGGAAGAATACAAATGAAAGTGTCTCCTTTCTCCAGGGAAGACAGTTGCAGAAGAGAGAATATATTAAAAAGGTAGAGTGCAAATGAAGTGAGTTCACTACAACAAAATCTGTAGGAAGCCCATGAAAGAGAGGATGCATTAGTACATCCTCCTGGGCAAACAAGCCTCATTAAAAGTTGGGGGCAGCAACACAGCATACTTTAGCCTCTAAGTTTCTTTTGAGTAATTATTAAATACAGCATCCCTTGCCTAATGTTTTTCACCCTTACTTGCAAATGGAGTTGAAGTGGGGAACACGATTATGCAGAAGCATCATTCAGATGACTTCTTATGTAAATTGAAAATGCAAGGATAGAGTTACTTGTGCAGTCAATATCTCCGTCAGAATTAGGAATGGTTTTGGAAGGTCACTTCCAAGGAAACAGAATGGCTCTTTGGAGTCAGAGCTGTTTTCTCTGGCTCAGGTAGGGCTGTTTGGGCTTGCACTGCATCAGAACAGTTGATGCAGTTAATTTACTCTTAACAAAGCTGAGAAGCAAACCCAGAATTGTTAGCTTGCAGCTGATAATGGATTGTCTCCTGGGCACGTAGAATTGAACAGACTAGGAATGTAAGTTAAATATTAATATTATTTCTTACCTTGTTTTGCTATCTTTGATTTCTCTCCTCTCACATATAAAAAGTGGTTAAAAACAGCTTTTAAAATAAAAATAGTCAAAGAACTGGTGTAAAAGTGTTGACTAAATGAGTTAAGTTCAGAGCCCACACACATGTCTCGCAGTAGTTCTGGATCCAGTGCACTGATACTCTGCCTCACATACGTGGGGGTTTGGGGAGTGCTTCAATTCTAACTGAGTCATAATATTTCAATTTTTCCTTCCCCTAAATTTTTAATACTCAGCTAATTTCCAGCAAAAGTGAAAGGGGATAGAGGCTTTCTAGATGTTGTGCTCTTAGCAGCTTCATGAGTACAAGAGGCTGGCTAGCAAAGAGAAACAGTACTCCCACTGAAGGAAAAGTGCAAATGTGAAGTGAAGTCTTTTTAGACACAAGAGAATTCATGCGGGAGAGATATTATGAGTGTTCTGGCTGTGGGAAATTCTCCCTTTAAACTTGTTCTTTCTGACACACTGGGGTGTCTAAGTGTTGGATGTGCTCTGTAAGAACCCAGGCTTCATTAGTTCTGCTGGTCATGGGACTGCATGTTTCACAATATAAGAACCTCAGAAAGTACCTTTTTTATTTAAGTTTGGTCCAAGTAAAATACTGAAGAAAGCTTGACACCTGTGGTTTTTCTTTGGCAACAAATGAGGGTGTTTCACAAAGTAAATTGACATTGCCGAAGATTATTGCATGACTTCATGGATTTTGCTGAGATCAATTTAATCTTTCACACAGACTTTCTTTGGTGGGTCATTGGCCATAGAATATGGAAGAAAAGATCAGCATGCAATCACTGCTAAGTGGAGGAGATTGGAAGAGGCTTTCATTTGCATTTACAGATTTTGATGATGTCGGGAGCTAGACGTAGCTACAGTGCACTGGGGGTCCTGTCCTGTCTATTTTATATTTGAATAAAATATGTACGTGACTGTCTTAATAATATTTGCAGGATCTTTTAGACCAGGTCTAATGATTACAACTTCCCTTGGAAGCTGAAATACATCAAAGTTTTTGTAGTCAGTATCTGAGGTCAGGGTGGAGCTGGAACTTCATTTGGAAGGTTTGTGGATAATCCCTCATGTTTTCCAGGCTTGGGCTGATGCCTTTCGAAGTAGCCCTGATTTAACTGGAGTAGTGCATATTTACGAAGAACTCAAGAGGAAAGGCATAGAGTTTCCCATGGCAGATCTAGATGCTCTGTCTCCAATACACACACCACAGAGGGTAAGCTGCAGCGTTGCAATTCCAGGGGTGTTTTCCCAAGATGTCTAAATAGTTGGGTGACTTCCTTCCCCTCCTGTTTCTCTGAATTTGGCTCATTTTCTCACTCCTAGAAGAATTTTTTTAATAGTTGAAAGGGCGTGTAGGAGAAACATGATGCAGCTGCCTTTGACAGGCTGATAAGCTAATGGAATCTCCTCCCTTGAGTCAAACAGCAATCTGAGAAAAGAGTTTGGAGCAGGTTTGTACACTTGCCTTGTACTACAAAACCACCAGACAAATGCAACTAATTTGCTCAGAGAGAGTCCACCATTGAAATTTACTTCTTTTTATCAAAAGTATGGTTGGTTTTGTTGGTGATAACCCTGAACCAAGGCCTGCCTGTCTTTCAAAGGTGTACAGAGTCTGAATCTCTCACTGATCCCATGGTAACGTGAGGTTTTTACACCTTTGAAAAGTTAGGTCTGTAAAGTTGTTGTAAAGTTGACAGAACTACTGCTAGGAAGTAACTTAATGATAACAGCTGTTCTGGTTATTCACTCTGAAAACTGAGTTAATGAATCTTTGAAGTGGTAAATGAAAGTGATCAAGGACTGAAAGATTACAATTCATGTGCCAAGATTAATTAAATCCAGTATCTATGTATCACATTGGTTTTTATAAGCCTGCAACTTAATTCCTAGTTTAAAATAGTTTATAATTATTTATCTTTAGCTCTTGTTTTTATTTTGCTTCTCACTTTCCTTGTAAAGGTAAATTAACTTAAATGTATGTGGGTTGGGTCAAAAGATATGGGCCTGCGTTTTTGTTGCAGCTGTCTGTTTATGGGCTGGCCTGCCAGTCTGTTCTCATAACTACATTGACCTTTTCCACAAGGTGCAATTATGTTCTATATTTGAACGTATGTGGCCTGAGGTTGCTGACAAAGCAAGTGCTGTCACAATTCAGCTTTTGAACTCCTGTCTTTCTGATGTGGCAGAGTGTTCCTGAAGTTGATCCTGCAGCAAATATGCACAATTCACAGTCTCAGCAAAGGATGAGCACCAGTTCTTATTCTTCATCTTCTCCAACGGCATATTCTGCTCCTCAGGCCCCGGCTCTGAATGTGACCGGACCCATCACTGCTAATTCTGAACAGGTATTGGGATGATGATTCTTTTGAGTGATACTCTTTCAGCAGGTCAAGTTAGAAACCAATTTGCAGAGGAACTTTCATTTTAACTCTTTTGACTTTGATTGCCTCCTAGGTCTGGTTCTACTTAGTAATCTTTCTTCCTATTATACTGTAAAATCTAGGCTTCAGATTTGTGTGTATGGCCTCCTAATGGCAGCAGTTACAAAACCTCACAATCTGATACACCAGTCCACTCAGCAGTTGTGCAGTAGGTTAGCAGTTATTCTCATTAGCCCTCCTCCTTTAAAGGCACAGAATGTCTTGCAGAAGCAGGAAGTCTTTCTAACAGGGTGTTAAGCCTGCATCCATAAGACCCTTGCAAGTGCCCTAACGTAGGATCTTCTCTTCTGTCTGCAAAAATAGTAACTTAAGAGCCAAAGATCCTGCTCAAAAGTTGTACATCTTTCCCAACATCTGAGCAAGGCACGCAAAGTGTACCGCTGCCGAGGTCTGGTTTTAGCTGCTGTTTTCAATTGCTTTCCTTCCATACAAGCATAGGACATCTGGGTTTGTGATGACAGTGAGTGGTTCTACAAAGTTTTTTCCTTTTTCTGTTGCTTTTCTAAAATTCTCTCCTGGGTAAATTTTTTATATTTACTTTTTTTTTTTTTCCCTGCTAGAATGTCTGGAGCCTCAGATATCAAGTCAGACAGAACCAGAGGTATCACAAAGCCAGTTCTTGAAAATGATCTGCTTAAACCAAAAGATTATGCAGTATTTTGCTGTCTTTTTACCCCAATTTAGATTGCCCGGCTGCGCAGTGAACTGGATATTGTTCGTGGGAATACAAAAGTGATGTCTGAAATGCTGACAGAAATGGTACCTGGACAAGAGGATTCCTCAGACCTTGAGTTACTCCAGGTAAGAGTTTCCTAGCAAATTATTCTGATCCTTTCCTTTCTGTGCTTGAATTTTTCTGGGAAGGTGGTTTTTGTTGCGGTTCACTTCACTGCCTTGGTTTGTTTGTTTTACAAAATTAATGTGGACTGCTCTTGACCCTGGTTAGTCTCACCACTTGATGTTCTTCGTTTGTTAAAGCTTCCAGTGACAAGGATTTCCTAACTTCCCTTGAAACTTGTTCAGGACTTTCTTCTCTGTGTAGGTAGAATTTTTTCCCAGTGTTGAATATAAGGTCTCCTTTACCACAAAGCAGCTTAAAATTGAGATAGACTCTGTAAGTCCTGAGCACCTCTGCTTCTTTTACATGCTCCATCATTGTTCGTACAGTGGCAAAACATTCCTTGTCACTATGCAAGAAAAAAACACTCCATGTTTCCAGGTGGACTAAGTATTGCCAGGGGTCTGTGGATTCTCTGCCACTCAAAACTTTACATATGAACTAACTGCCTTTTCAGAAGGTGTTCTATAACTTCTCCTGAAGGTAGTGGCTTAAGGCAGGCACTCAGGCAAAGTTTCATGCTGTCCAGAGGGTTAGACTGGGTAATCAGAAGGGGTTTCTGTGCTGGAAAGTCTCAATCCAGTGCAGCATTTATTATCTCAAAAGGGAAAACAGTTTTAGTAGAGCTCATATCTCAGGCTTCATACCTGTTTCCCCAGGCCAGTGGTAGTGGAGTGCCCTTTTGCCTGAGGAAAGTAATACAGTACCACATGTAACACCATGAGGAATACTGTGATCTAGTATTCCAGCTGCTGCCCTTAACATGGTATTTGCCTTTCCGTAGCTTCAGAAGTAGGCTTCTGTTTTGATCTTCCAGCAGGGCGGATGGGCTCCCACAGCAGTACATTTGGAGGAAGGCAGGGAATTGCTCTCTGTGATACATCAGAGTTTGAAATCCATCCAAAAACTGGTCTCTCCCATGCAGCGGTATTGTGTGTTTGTCTCGGAGCCATCATGGCAGCTGATGAGAGGCTTTGCAATAAAGAGCCTTTCAGTTACTGCCCATTTGGGTCGGACTGCTCAAAACAAAAGCAGCTTCCAGGAAACCACGACAGACCAAACCAGCGTAGAACAGTTTGCTTACATTCAGAAACAACTACTAACGTCTTGACAGTGTAACCTTACAGCATAGCTTTAAGGTGAAAGAACTTGATCATAAAATGGAGTGACAGCAGCGATTCTTTATCCCAACTGGTTCCCTTCTTTGACTGATGCATCCTAAATCTGAATCACAGAGCTGGGGAGAACCTGGTTTTGATCAGAAAGAATGGTTAGTCTTTTGAAAGCTGTGAGCTGGGTGCTGCACGCAAGGACTCCTTGCTTTGAGGTTTATATAGCCCTCCTCCTTAAATAATTCCTGACATTTTCTCCAACAATCAAATGTAAACAGCTTGCTAGAGAGCCAGCTCTGAGCAGAATAGATAGGTACTGTCAGCCCTCTTGGAAAGGCAGCAAACAAACCTCTGAAATGTCACAATCTGCTTCTAAAGTGATGGGATCAAAACTGACATTGGAGAACACATTCCTCAAGCTGTTAAGGCAGCTGGATTGCACTAGGTGAAATTTATCCAGAGCTTAGGATGTCAGACCAAGCAGGGAAAACAAACACATTTTTGCTTTCATCCGGAAGGTTGTGTACCAACAAGTCATCCTTGTTTAGTGCTGAATTTTTGCTGTGAATTAGAGCTGGGGGGGCGTGGGGGAAGGGCGTGGAAGATGACAGAGGGACATGCTTTAGTTGAAATGTCAGTGCTTATTGAAGTAAAACCATGGGCCTAATCAGTGGCGCCATGCCATATGTCACGTTCCTTCTTGTAGTTCTTCCTCAACATACTGTTTTTGACCTTTGGTCTTGAGTCCTTTCAGGAGTAAAGAATTCTGCTAAGTAATTGGTGATGGAAGAGATGTCCTGCAAGCATGAGAACTCCTGGTTTAGGCAAACTCAAACCTAGATTTCTTGGCATGAGAGGCTTCTCAAATAAATGCCCTTACTCTATATTCTTTAAAATTTTCTTCTGAAACTCTCCGCTGCCCTTTTGCAGTCTCTTGTCTGTGGATTTGTTCAGTTGAAGGGAATGTTTCTGTGTATAGTTCAATACTGAAGTGTGTGTGGAGCGCTCATCTTTTTATCCTCCTGGTCCTTGTTTTGTGTTCGCACCCATGTTCTCAGTAGTTGGTAAGTTCTGTGTCCCCAACCCTTCTCTTCCTGCTGTGTAGTACACACTTAGTGCGACTTGTGGTAGCCATGATGAACTTTCTTCCCCAATTGTTCCACCACGCACATCTTTTAGTTTTTAAGGATGATATTGCCAAAAAGAGCAGATTGAGTTTTCCTTGAAAGCTCTCTTCTGGAAAGCTGTTGTCTTAACATGTTTTCTTCTTAAAACAGATCACTAAAATACAGATATTTATTTTCTGAAGTGCTCAGAGTTAAAGAAGAATCAGGATGTTGAATTGTAAATAGGCTCTCAAGGTTTTATGCCATCGTCTCTTGAAGGGCATGTTTGATTAGATGTGCTTTTGGGTGACATTTAATCATGCAAAGATAGACTTGTCTTAGTGTTGCTCAGCTGGGGGATATGTTTGGCTGTGAAAAGAGCTCAACTAAATCTACTTATTGCTAGCTGCTTATCAGAATGTGTGTGCACAATGCATTCCTCCTAGGAACTGAACCGAACCTGTAGAGCTATGCAGCAGAGAATTGTGGAGCTTATCTCACGAGTGTCCAATGAAGAAGTCACAGAGGAACTGCTGCATGTGAATGATGATTTAAATAACGTCTTCCTCAGATACGAAAGGTGGGGCACCTTTTCCATCAACTATTTACATTTGTTCTGGGTTTTCACTTAGGTGTCATATAGGTCAGTTAACAAAAGTTGGCCATCTGGTCCAATGGTCCAACACAGAAAAATGCAGAGAATCAAACCACAGAAAGCATTTAGAAAGTCTTTTTGTGGTCTTCTATGGTAACATTCCTGTTTCAGTTGTTTCCTTCAATACTATGGTTTTGGGTTTGTTTGGTTTTTGGTTTTTTTTTTGTCCAAGCCATTGAATTTTTGTGGGGCACATCCGAAAAATGCAGGGCAACTTTGTGCAAAACTCTCTCAACTAGCAGAGACCTGAGCCTGAAAGTCCCTGTTGCGTGGTGCTGTACAGATGTAGGGACTTGGGACCAAAAATAGCACAGCCACAGTCGCTAGTCCCACTTGTTAGCCTAGGCTCTGCACAAATGCTTGTGCTGCTTCCTGGCTTAGGGAGGCTCCCGTGAGCTCCCTCGGTCTTCTGATCTCTGGGCTTTCTAGTTCCAGTACTGGTGCAACGGGAGCTGCCTGAGGTGGGCGTGACCTTCATGCATGTAAGGGGCTTGTTTTTAAGTAACACTTAAAATCTTGGAAAAAAAAAAGCCTGTCTTGTGCAGAGCTGAGGTTTTGAAGAGTTGATCTGCGGGAATCATCCCCAGGGGCGGGACTTGGGTCACAGGAATTTCGACATGTTAGACAAAGGCGCTGTCAGCCACATCTGCTGCATTAGGTGACACGTGATACAGCAGTCTTGGGAAAGTTTAATCTTCCCCTTAATGACAGGCCTGGGGAGTGAGGCACTAAAGAGTACCCTTTGTTCCTTGCTCTTAGCACAGGGCTTTGTTTCTCAAGCCTTTAAAAATATATTAGACTCTAGATCTGTGAATCTCTGCTGTCACGGCAAAGGCTGGAAAGAAGACTCAGTGGCCTCGATTTTGTCTTTGATTTAGTTGTTCAGAGGAGACTGGGGCAAACTTTGAAACAAATGCTGGCTTTTTATTGTGAAATGGAATGTGTTTCATGCATGAGCATGATTCTACAAGTGGCAGAGTGTAACTGTCGCTAAGGCTTGGTCTGGTCACCCTTAATATTTTTTCTGTTTTCCTCCATCTATGACTTTGCTGGCTGGTGCTAATGTATTTGTAGTCATTATACCCCGAAAGGTGAGCTGAGTGATGTTGGCAAGCTATTTGTGGTGGAATAGCTGCATTGGTCTGAGCTTTTCAATAAATTCCAGTGCTCCTCTGCTATTCCAAAAGCTCCACATTCATCACACTGATTTCTAGTATGGGTACTGAGCTCTGTCAGTGACTCAAGCAGGAGCTCTGGCCTTTGCTGTGAAGCCTTGGATGTAAACGAACGTGTGGTTCATAAACCTTTTGGGTGAGAAATATGAGGTGGGAGGTGTCTTAGGTTTCCAGCTAAGGGAGCTGGATTTCCAGTAATAGTAGACACCCACAGTTGCCTAAAATTGGAATTTGGTCCTCAGTTTGTTTTTGCTGCCTTTTAAGTCTGCATTTTCCTCTCTTAACATTAAGAAAACATTTTATTTTCCTCGAGATTCCCTGTTGTATTTTGTCCATCTGGGAGAAAACCCACAGGGTTTTCAAATATGAATATTATGGGGTTTTTACTAAGAGCTTACATGTGAAACTACTTTGAAATCAGGAAAAACTCTAACTTTAGAGAAATCATGATGCTTTTCCTGGTAAGGAAGGAGATCGGACTGGCTTCAGACAGGCCTTGGGAGGAGGTAGTTCCCCTTGCTTTTTTTGAGTTCACGAAGGCTGGATTTAGGTTTGCGGCCCCAGATGCGCGGTTGGTTGGGGAAGGAGTAGAGAAGAAACCAGATCTTGACTAGCCAGACTTCTTCCCCTAAGGAGCATGAGGATTTTTATTCAACATCATTACTTTTTGTTCTTGGAAAGTACCAACCTATTTGAACGTAGGCTCTGATGATCCTTGGGCTGACCCAGAATGTTTTAAAAATTAATTTGCTAAGCACTGTTTCTCTTGCCACGTGCTGCCGGGGTAGGGCTGTGCTAGCATGCATATGGCTTCTAATTTACATGTATTGCAGCAAGAGGGAGCTGTTAAGTGGGAGTAAGACTTACTATGGTGCTCAGCTTATTTAGCTGGGAGCATCAGTCTTGCTGCTGTTCCTCCTGTCTCTTGGCTAACAGAATAGTCTATTGTGAAGCACTTAATGAAAAAAAACCCAGAGGTAAATCCTACAGTGTTTTTCAGGCATGTGTGCACCGCAGTATCAGATTAGTCAACTTAATATAGGCATTTGCCAAGGATGCAACTTCTGTAACTATCCTCTCTTTGTCCTAGCTTGGAGCTAAAGCTCTCAGGGCTCCATCATGAACCAATGAAAACTAAGTTCAGTGGCAAGTGTGTCGTGGCTTTGCTGTAAACTTGTGTTTTTCATTGCTTATTGGTGGCTTTCATAGTCCATGTTGTTTTTTTGTTTTTTTCTAAACAGATTTGAACGATACAGATCGGGACGTTCAACACAAAATGCCAGCAATGGAGTAAGTACCTAACTCCATTTATTCTATCAGCAGCTACACCGTACTAGCCGTACTGATATCACTAGTGTCGGACTTTTATTTGTCGAGCCCTGTGTCTTGCCTGTAGTGGCTAATAGTGGATACCAGGCAAAGGGCGTAAGAATGTGGCAAACCTTCAGGTGCTAACTTTTAGCTCAGGAAGATACTACACTAAAACATCTCTGTGTTTACAATCCTTGATGGATTTTCTTTCCTCTATTAACTTTTTTGATTGCTTTTGAGTCCATGTAGACTTTAAGCATTCACCATGTCCTTAAGCAGTGAGTTTGAGTTTCACTACACATTTTTACATATTTATGTGGGTATGTACATGTAATAAATATTTTGTTTACATTTGAACAAGTCACTTAATGATCTTTATTTGATATTTTATTTGATTGTCTTACAACACCACTGTTCAGATTTGTTTTCTTCATGCCACTCATAATTTTAGGAGCCTCTCTCATCTCCTTTTTCAACAGCTCCTTTCCAAGCTGAAGAGTTACAGTTCTAATTATTCTTTCAATGAAAACTATTTTATAGCTGTTTCATGGTGTTCAAGATCTGAGTTCATGATAAATTCATACGGGACACTATCAGATTTTCTATTTTTGTTTTCTTCTAACAATTTCCACTATTTGCCTGTTGGAGTGCCACTTCTATGGTATTGTGATGCAAACTTCAGCACAGGCTCTACGTTGTAACTAGTTACAACAAATAAGTTTTGTTTCTGAAAACAGTTTATACCTAATGTGGAAGACTTTAGCAAATTGAGTTTGACTTAGATCTAATGTTGGTCTAGTGCTAAAAGAGGTGGAGAACATAGACACAATAGCTAAATCTGAAGAGATGCAGATGACCTCCAGGAGAGTTCCCTGCTGTGCTGAGCAGTCAAACTTGAGGTTTTTTTGGTGGCTGACCCTTTTTATTCTGCACTCATCACCATAGTATCCAAGAGACTGGTCCGTTTGGCAGTGTGCAAGAGAGATGTTTTTAGGAAGCACCCATTATTTTGTGGTGTTTAATGTTGCACTGCAAGAAGGAATCTTTGGCATGTGTAACTTGCTGCGTTTTTTTGTGTCCCAACAGGTATTGAATGAGGTGACGGAAGATAACTTAATAGATTTGGGTCCTGGATCTCCAGCTGTAGTGAGTCCAATGGTTGGAAACTCAGCACCCCCATCTTCACTTTCTTCACAGCTTGCAGGGCTGGGTGAGTACCTGGTGTAAATAGTGCTGATGAACACAAGGCTGCAATGCATGGACTTCTTCAAGCCTGTGAATCTTGAACAGCATGTGGGGGCTGCTAGGCAATCCAGGTGTGTGAGTGTGGGAGCAAGCCTGAGCGGTTGCTGGGGTCCCTGTGACTGACCTGAACACCCGTACAGGCTCTTATTGCAGTGGGCTGTTGGGATTTGTGAGGAACCATTTTCCTCATTCACTTGTGGGTCAGGGAGTTCCTGCTCCCTTTGGCTCTCTACTACCTGACTGATGTTGCCATGTACCTTTCAGAAAGTTTGGGTATGTGGCTTACAGGATTAGGAAGGCTCTCCCACTCCCTGACACTGTAGTGATCTGTAATTGGGAACCAGCCTGGCACAAAGGGAGGGATTTGTTAACCAAAGAGGAGAGTAAAGGAAAGGATGCAGTTTCCCGTTCATGGTAAAACTTGTACTGCTACTTTTATTTCTGCATTGGTATAGCTCTCCATGAAATCATTCTGGTGAATGTTCTTGATTCCCCTTCTACAAATGATACTTGAAATCTTTGGATGAAAGGTTTTATGAAACTGTTAGGTGTTTGGCATTAAATCAAACCAGAGGTTGCTTGATATGATCACTCGATTCGATGGAAGGTTCTCCACCTTTCTCAGCACTGCACAAATATCGTATCACTTGATCTGAAACTATTGATTTCACAGTCACTAGCTGAGAGACAACATTGTGGAGAAGACGAATATCCATGCCCCAAATTTTGGACCATGTTAGTGAATAGTAAATATCTCGGGATGAGATTGGCAGCAGGTGCACACCAATTCCCAAATGCTGGCTTTCCGATGAGGAGTACTTACAGTGTGGTGCTTCTAGGAGGAATAAGACAATTGTCCTTTAAGAAATGCAGAATTAGCAGCCTCCAGCCTCTTCTGGACAGAATTGTGCTCAGGGCTACAACTGTTAACTAGATGATATCTATAGCTGTCCTGTATTGTTAACGGCTTCCTCTGTAACCTACACAGTCATGGCAGAGGTTGCTTGCATATGGTTTGCTACTTCATGGGTTTGGTTTTTTTGCCTCTGGTTGCAGACTTGGGTACAAACAGCGTCAGCGGCACACTCAGCTCTCTACAGCACTGTAATCCTCGTGATGACTTCGACATGTTTGCACAGACAAGAGGCAGTTCCTTGGCTGAGCAGCGAAAGAAGTATGTTGGACTTTGTCTTTAGTTCTGTTTGAATCATAGCATTGCTCTTTCTGAGGGCATAAATCTGAAACTTCTTGATTTCATTCCAGACTAAAGAAGTAGTTTTTGTGTATGTTTTTGTGCTTTTAATCCAAGCCCTATCATACATTGGTCATTATTAGTATGAGCAGGTGGAGAAGTTCCTGCTGCTGGGCAGAGCAGATTGGCTGAGTAATGTTATTTGACTGTCTTAGTTAATGATCTCACTGGAAACTTGGAAATGAACTTGCCTTTAGTTCTGCAGATGCTTCCTCTCATAAAGGCTTGTCATCCCATCCACCCGGCCAGTGCTTGAGATACAGAGGCATAAGGATCCTTCACCTGAAGGTCATGGATATACTTTGGTGACTGAATTATTGTCATCAAGGGCTTGGAAACAGAATTACCATCCAGTTAAACTCTCCCTTTGGCCCAGCAGTCAGACTCTCACAGGTCGTCAAGGCAGTGTAGCTTGCCCAGCTGCCGTGCTATCCCAAATGTGTTTATGTGCACAGGGCTTGCATCTCTAGAGCTGCAAATCTGGCACTTTCAAGGGCACTTAAGAGATGTAATTATTTTAATGTAAAATAAATCCATGCAATTATTAAGAAATCCTTTGATTCCTGTCAAGTGAGATTCAGTACAAGAGACACTCAGGTATTTTTCTTTCATATATTGTTTCTTGCCTCCTTCTGGATTCAGATTCTAAAGGACGTAGTGGCTACCAGCAGTCAGAACATCGTCAATAACTTGTCTCAAACTCAGAAATGTTGTTAAACAGTTTAGGTCAGACCTTAGCAGATTGTCAAAAACTTACCAGCTCTGGAAAACTTGAGCTAGCAAATTTATTAGGATCTTTTATTTGCAATCATCAATATAGCTATCGGTACTGCCTCATCTGTAGTATCAATGTTGAGAAGACGTGCTCTACTGTTAGAGGCATGTGTTGCCGCTGGAGATTTCAGGCTGAGAGCCCTAATGTATAGTCAGAAAGGAGATGTGTTGCAGAGAGATCTAGTACAGGCCCCTCTGTCTCTTGTGCTAAATGAAGCGCGAAACTAGTCTTCCCACACTGTACCTCTATCTCCTGCACGCTAATGGAACAAGGAGCACGAATCAGTCCGTGATTTCACAAGGGAGGATTGCTATATCTTCCATGGATTGTACACTGTATAAGTGGAGCAGCAGTAAAGACAGGAGTGTGACTTGCTGTGGTGTGTAGGTGAGAGCCTCTGGGTGCTGTGCTCGGAGCTTGGGAGAAGCCGGCACACTGGAGGGGAAGGTGCTCCTCCTGCTCAGGGATGTGACCTCTTCCAGGGGCTGATTTATGGGCAGGTGTTGGCATCTGCTTCAGCTCATGGTTCACCACTGTGCTCCGAGAAAGGATGCTATTGCTTCTGTCACCTGACTGCTACATGTCCCCTTTGCGTAGCAATTTAAGAAGCTTTTTAAAAATCCAACCTCTGTAAATAGTGCATTTCTTTGTATGCAACTGAAGTTGCTTGGTTATGTTTCACCTGTCTTCGAGTCTCCCTCTGCCTCCCCCCATGCACATATCACGTTCAGGCTTCAAAATGTCATCTTCAAAGCTTTGCAAAATGCAATCTGTAATCGGGCCTCTCTTCGTAATCCCCTGCTAGCTCTCGGACACGCTCATGGTACCTCGTAACCTATTTGCCTACCTTTCATAATTCCAGTCTTATTCTTTTTGCTTAAACATGCTTACTGAAACTGATGGGTGGTCTTTAAACAGAGCACACTCCTTCTCTTGGAATACACTTAGTACACTTGAAGTCTTGTTATGAAAAGGAACGTGCTTTCTGATTTCCAGGGGAGTAAATCGGAGTAGCAAGTGCATTCTGCATGGGTGACTGTTGGACTCCTTCTAGTTCTGTGGTTTGTTTCTTTCTTTCAGTGTGACGTATGAGGATCCGCAGGCTGTCAAAGGACTAGCGTCTGCCCTGGATGTTCGAAAACAGAACACAGGAGGGGTAGGTCATTGCTTTGTGTTTTGTTATCTGAAGCTGTGCGTGGAATCCAAGCTGTAGGCAGCTGCTTTGACCGAGACTTCTCATTCTGTATTCCAGCAACGTACTAGTACTGGCTATTTTGAAATTGATATCTAGGAGCAAGTACTTGCTCAGTAATGATCTCTAAAGAGCTGCTACTTAGCACACCAGCCTAAAAGACTTCAAAATCATAGTGGGTAAATTCTCCTGTGTTCTTGCAGTTTGCCTGGGGGATCTAGCTCTTTGGCTGCGATCACTGCTGAAAAGAATAAGTAGGGAATATCCTGTGAACACTGGTGTGCATTTGGTTGGTTCGGTTTTGCTTATGAAAGTTGTTGCAGTCTTAATCTACTCATGGATACACAGGCAAGTTACAGGGAGAGAAATTATGTAGCCTTTTAATGCTTCATGTGCCTTGCCATAACTGCCCTCGCCTGCAGTCCGTTCTGTCTGTCCTAGAGCAGGCTGCTGCTATCTTGTGTGGCCATGAGGCCCGTGCGCTGTCATCTCGCAGGAGCTGATACTAGAAATGTGTTTGAGAGAGTGAGCTTGGCCAGCCTTGTCTGCATACCTTGGTGAAGGCAGAAGTGAAAAGAGCTTTCAGATCGTCTCTCAACCCCTTTCTACCACCCTGCTTTTTTAAAAACTCTCCTGCTCTTTTGTACTCAGCTGTGTGTTTTTAGATTTAGGAGCAAGTTCAGAGCCTTTTCCTAGTCTAATTTTGGTCTGTGGTGACCGCTAGGGAGCATGGCAGAGCCAGTGTAGCATGGGAGAGCCAGTTGCAGCATGCACACGCCTCCCTCCATGGAGAATTGCCTCCCCATGCCTTGGCTGATCCCGCCCTGGTTCTTTCATAAGTTGAAATAGGAGTGCTGAGGGCAGCTGGCATGCCTGGCAGCTTGTGCTCTGAGCCAGGGAGAATTTGTGTTCAGAGCCAGCTGGGATCGGATCACAGCTGCCTGACTGCCTGGGCCATAGTTCAGTGGTAGCAGGGCTTCAGCAATGATTTCTTATGGAGCATCCCCCCCGCCCCACAAATCTATCTGCTTGTTCCTCTCCCTGTCCTCCTGCAAAAAGGGTAATTTATAACCCAGGTCATCCCTGTGACCAGTTTCAAGCTCAGCCCCACCAAATCTCAAGCCAGCAGTATTGAGGGAAAAGGGGGAAGCACAGGGAGGCAGGGGCAGAAGTACATTAAGGGGGGTGAGAGAGGAATTCCTGAAGCCAGTGTGACAACCCAAGCCCCCAGTATCACTGAGCCGTGTTATTGGCAGGACCTGGGAAGGGATTTGAGATTCTGCTCTTTGTTCCTGACTAACAAAACGCAAGGGGCTTGCATTTAGCTACTGGTCAAGGGGGCTGTATTCCCCTGGTGGCCACAGGGTCATGTCCTTATTTATTAACACTTTTGTTCTCAGCCAGTTCTGCTTGAGGCACCAACGTGACGTGTCATTCACACCAGCGTAGCTGCTGCTCTGCCTGAAGTGTTGTCAGTTCAAAGGGCTGTGTCTAAGCTAATCTGACGATCAAAGTTTTATGGGTTGTGGAACTTTGGGCTCTGAGATGTTGTAGAGACTTTCAGCCTCTTTTCAAAGGTCCTGATGACTGTATCGTGTAATCAGAATAGCTTCTTTTGAAATGCAGTCTTTCGATAATTGGTAAACACTACTTTTTGTCAAGTGTTGTGAGGCTTGTGGCTGTCTCTTCTTAAAGGAAATAAAAATGAAACTCTCCTAAAGTACCAGCCCCAGCATGTGTAGCAAAAAACTGGCAGTGCTCAGTAAATGAAAGACACGTGTTAATTTGGGTAGAGAGCTAATTTAAGAACAGCTCTAGGGAGGAGCCAAAAGCTTCTCAACACATTCTTCAGACACGTCTCATTCCAGCACAGTTGTCCAGTGGTAAAATTCAGCACATCCGACATTTCTAATGTAGTCATTCTCAGAATGGTCTGTAGAGAGATGGCTGATCACGTGGCATTAGCTGTCTTTTAATATGATTTAGCAGCTGGAAACAAGATGAGCTAAAAATACACTGTTTTCTTAATATTGCTTTTCCATGTTGGGAATTGCTTTTGTTGCCACTGAGTTGTTGCGTGATCACAACTGGGAGGAGAGGTGTCCAAGAAACAATTCTCTAGTGTTACACAGATAGTAGATGAAGTTGGAGTGATTTCCTCCTTTCTTTTCTCTCAGCACAAGTACTGAAATGAGACATAAAAGATTACAGCCGATCCTCCATTATCTGTGGTAATGGGGACAGGACAGGCATCCCACGCATATGGGTATCTGGGTAGAGGTGCATAAACACACCAGTGGCTCTCTGCTGAGCTAGCCCAGTCCTGGCAGGGCCAGTGGGCTAGAACTGCTGCACTCTGCCAGTCACGAGCAAGCCCCTCCAGAGCTAGAGATGACTCTGCACCCGGGCCCTGGCTCAGGGACGAGATGCTGAAGGACAAGAAGCCATCTTGAGAGTCTTTGCATTGCTGTGCCATGCAGTCTGCAGCCTGCCCAGAGGAACTGGATGCATCAGCGGTCCTTTTAACCTCTGCTGTTCTTAGAGAGGGGCAGTTTGAAAGACTGCCAGAACACTGCAGCAAACTGCGATAACTTACCCTCCTGCTCCACCCCATCATTAGAGCTGTCGTACTGATAGTTCGAGGCAGACTTTGTCTGCTGAGATCAAGGAGGTAAGTAGGGCATGCTGCAACTTACAGCTCCATAAACAAGGGAATCTCCACGTTGCGTTATACTAGTGTTTCCAATGACGTCTGACTGATTTTAGTAGGTTGTATAGCCTACAATTTATCTTCTTTTAAGAAGATGACAACCATCAGCCTCATGACTAGTCAGTGATTTTTTTTTAATTTTTTTTTTTAATATCAGCATGGAGGAAGTGCTAAAATTCTGTGAACTGTCTGTAGGAAGTGCAGAGGTCAGTGTGAGGTCTGTCCCTCCACGGGCAGAGCTGACAGGCAGCAGAGGGGGATGCAGCTGCTGCCAGAAGCTACCATAGGCAACTGTGTGTGTGTGTGTATGTGAAGTTTTTAACTTGCTGCTGTTATATTACTTTATCATGGGTTGTTGCTGTGGTTTCTCTCTTTATGGACCTTTCTGTTCTCAACACAGAGGAGAGGTAAAGGTGGGAACTCAGACATGGAGCCCATAGACAAGTGGCTAATTACACAAGGAATGGTGAGGACTTCACCAGTGAAGCGATTCCTACTGCCCACCCCAGTCCCTTTACCTAGAATAACCATCCTAGCTGCTGCCAGAAGCTACCATAGGCAACTGTGTGTGTGTGTGTGTATGTGAAGTTTTTAACTTGCTGCTGTTATATTACTTTATCATGGGTTGTTGCTGTGGTTTCTCTCTTTATGGACCTTTCTGTTCTCAACACAGAGGAGAGGTAAAGGTGGGAACTCAGACATGGAGCCCATAGACAAGTGGCTAATTACACAAGGAATGGTGAGGACTTCACCAGTGAAGCGATTCCTACTGCCCACCCCAGTCCCTTTACCTAGAATAACCATCCTCCATTCACCTCTCGTCCTGCCCTACTGAACCACTGGAAATCAGACAGTACAAGGAGTTTATTTCCCACCTATATCATTACCTGGGGCAAAGGGAAAGATTTGCACCAATTTCTGGTTTATACAGCACAAAGGCCTGTAACCAACTGAATCATTTATAGGATCCCACATCACCTTCAGAAGAGGCCTGGGGATCCAATTAGTTCCTTATACTGTCTTGATTTATTTATGCAGTATCCACTTTTCGAGGGATAAACACAAGTCTTGTGGATCTCGTTCATAAAGAGGACACTTTCTACGTGTCTTTAAAGCAGCCTCTTCTGGTAGTGCTTAACTTCATGGTCTGGAATAAACATACAGAGCTTAGAGGATCATACCTAATTGAACTGAGTAATGTAGGGATAGTTCTGTATGAATGGAAGGGAATGGGAGAACCGCTGCCCAGATTGACGTCTTCCACCCCAGCCAGGGAATTACACTGGCATTAGGATTCAGACTGCAAAAGGTAGAATAGTGTTTCTGGCTTTAAGGATTTAATTCCCGTGTCTAGTGATGCCAGTGCTGTGATAAAATCAAGCTTCTGAAGATCACTGAATCTTTGCACATTTTGGCCTTGTTTGAAGTTGTCCTTCATCAACATGCTTGCAGAGAGAAGTTCAAAAGCCTGCTTTTAAGTGCAGAAGTCAGAAGTAGGTAGGAAATACACTCAGCTATGCCTTAAAGCCAAGTTCTAAGGCCAATTTCGTATTTTTGGACAATGTAATCTATCACTTTAAGTGTTTGAGATTAGTCCAATAATGTGACCTAACTGTACAAAGTCCTCTTGAGACAGTCCTGACTGCAGCTGGGTTCAGAAAGGTGCAGTGCAGAATTCCCTTCGGACTGGGGTGCGCTTGCGGTGCAGTGTGTGTGGCTGTGCATCAGGAGGCCCATGGAATGGGGACGCCTCACTCCAGGGAGAGGCTTGAATGTCCCGGGCGAAGCCACTCAGCGCTTAAAAAGAGAAACATCCCAGAGCGTTTTAAGGTTGAGAAAATCCAGAGCGTGCAGTATCAGAGCGCACCAACTCTGTGAAACACTTTGCATGTATTCTTCTAGACTTAGGGCTAATCCACCTTATTTCTGAGGGCCAGCTTGTGAATTTGTCAGAAGTTTGCATGGCTGGTGCATGCACGGTGGTTGGACATGTGCATATATACGGTTGTATCTGCCTGCCAGTGCAAGCACCCAGAAGCAGTTCCGTGCCTGCTAGCACACGTGGGTAAGCCCAGCTGTAGGTGCCTATCCTGGGGAGCCAGAGTTTCATTTCAGTGCTTGTCGGAGACCCGCAGCTCGTAACGTGAGAGTGAAAAGCCGTAAAGTGAGCAGCGCTTGCTTTGCCTCTGCTGACTGTGGTTCACAGAGGCTCTTGCTGTTCAGCGGCTCTGTTGCAGCCAGAGATGTACTATGC